ATTAAATGGTGCACAAAGGCTGATCACACACACAGTGTACACCAACACACAACATGGGGTAAAAACTAACAAAAACTTAAAAGTTGATTTGTGTTATTACAGGAATATATAATATTTATATTTATATATATACATATTTATATACACACATATATAAATATCTATATATATAGCTTGGATTTTTTGCACTGCATGAAGTTCACTGGTATGCATGAATTTATGCATTGTATGATATTTCTTTTTTTTTTTTTTTTCCTCGACATTTTTTGTTGTTGTTTTCTGCCTTCCCTCCTCGATCGGGGTTCTTGAAGAGCGGGTCATGTGAGCCGTGTGGTCTTATGTTCGAGTCACGCTCACGTCCACAGGCAGCCGTTAGTCAATTAGTCCGTCTGTTCGGGCAACAAAAAAAAGGCTCACAGCCCTTTTCTGTATCAGTTTGCCACCCTCCGTGTCCATCGTTCTCTTCTTCTCCTCCTCCTCCTCCTCCTCCTCCTCCGTCGTCGTCGTCTTCAGCACGCGGTGAATAAACTCCTCTCTCTCAGGATGCATTATTTAATTCAGCCTCTGTAACTGTTAAAAGCAGGAGGACTTTTAAAGGATCTGTGTGTGTGTGTGTGTGTGTGTGTGTGTGTGTGTGAGATATGAGACATTAAAACCTGTCGAAGGGTTGTGCATGTCTTACGCTGTAGTGTGTGTGTACCTGCGAGTGTGTGTGTGTGTGTGTGTGTGTGTGTGTTGATATATCTGAGAGAGAAAGAGAGCTAAAGGAGGGAGAGCCTGCACTGAGGGGTTCCAGTCCTGACCCTCGTTCCTGGGTCAAAGTGTAGCTGAGTACAGCAGTCAGTCCTGGCTAATAGGTGATGAAGATGATGTTGGTGGATCCTTAACTGTGTTTCCTTTTTTTAGAAAAACTCTTTCCACTGTTTTTCTGGAGTTGTGTGGGACAAGTTCTGTAGGAGCTGTATCGAGATGGAGGCGAGGGCTCGGTCGTTTGGTGAAGTTGGTAGAAGTGGAGGGGGTGATTGGCTAACTGGTTGTAGGGAGTGGGGGAGGGGGTGGGGGGGTAGATAGGTAGGTTGGTAGGTAGATACGTAGGCCAGACGCCGCTGCCCATCACAAGAGCTCGTACTGCCGTAGGTGCATCCGCTGTATGATGTCGCGACAGTCATTGAAGACGCGGCGGATGTTTTCTGTGTCGACCGCGCAGGTGAAGTGGGGGTAACAGTAATGCCGTCCATCCCCGCTGGCTGTGCTGATCCTCTGAAGAAGACACAAAGGAAAGACATGTTAGTGTTGGAGGTGTTCTGTCTTATGTAGCTACGAAGGACTCCCTGAAAACGTGCCTTAATTCCTGCGTCACACAGTGTTGTGTACCTGGTGCGCATTCTCGTGTCTTTGCACTGGTTTCTCTTGTCACTTTTTGGACAAACTCACAAAACTATAACCTAGAGAGCTGTTTATTATCCTAATCTTTGCTTTAAGCCCAGAATTTAACCTACGAGAGACTTTTTTATTTTTCGTGATCATCAATTTACGCAGACACAATTAGGGTGTTTTCACACTTGGTCCTTTTCAGATCTCTAAACAGGCTTGGAGCGGTGACTCAGCATTTTTTTGCGCCAAGTGAAGACTTCAAGAGAAGTCAGACCCCTCTGAAGTGAACAGAACTCAAACGTCAAAGTAAAAACAAAACTATGTCAATATATATTTTATTCTATAGTGTGACCAGGAAAGAGAACTGAGTCCTCTTTCAAATGATCTGACAATGTGAACACAAAAAGATCTGAGTCCCTTCTCTGTTGGTCCACTTTTTGGTGCACTTTCAGAGGACTGAGTTCGGTTTGCTTGAAGAGAATTATATGTAAAAACACCCTTAGATTTGGGCTCACTGTGCTGCTGACACAGCTGCAACTGTGACTAGACTTCCCTGCAGACTTTTTTCCGACTGCTGTTATTCAACGTCAGTCATAACATTATACCAGGAAGTAAGTACAACTAAAATAAATTGATATTTAGATGGACTAAAATATGCAATGTCAGACAAGAAGTTAAGTCAGAGTTTTTGAAACAGTTTTCAGTCGAAGCACCAAAAATAATCTTACAATTAGCCCCTTTATAGCATGCAAAAATACTTTGCCAGACGGTTGAGCAGTTGTTTACAGTTTTCAGTTAAGGCTGCACGAAATGAAATATTTTCACGGGAAACAAAAATGATGCTCGACTTTTTCAGCATCTTACTCGCATTTCACGTGTGGTCAAACTGCCTCAGTTCAGTAGTGTTGGACTGCTGGTGACTAAAATCAGATGAGAGCGAGCTGTAATCACAAAACTATGACAGAATTTAATATGTATGGCAACGATGGAGCCTTATTAACATGCATCAAATAAACTGATCTCATGTTGTATGTGTGTATCATTCAGTGTTGCTTCCCTAATTTCCAGAGTTTTAGAAATAAAACCATCCCATACTCTGTCACTCAGAGCAAAGTAATTCAGGATTTTTGTTCTGTGTTCTTACAAAGGTGCATGCAGATTATCACATAAAGTATTAACGTGCACTCAGAGCATGGGCTGAGATGGTCATGGAGCTCGCAACAGTGTGCACTGCTGTGTCCTCCAAAACCACACCCATCCATGTAATACACCAAGTTTTTAGGGAGTCCTGTACCTCCACAGCCCTGTCAGATGAACTCAAGTATCCCTATAAGCACCACCTGTTATGCCCCTAATGTGTTCTCTGAATAGATTTACACTGGATGCATTTTACTATTTATTATAGAAAATCAAATATTGTCACAACACTTTCTTACTACAATTTCAGCTGTTAATGTTTAAGTCTGTTCAGTAAAGTTGCATTCCACTTAGAGGATAGCGCAACCATTTACTGATGACTTGTAGTTTCCTATTCAACTGTTAATCCACACTTTTACCCTGTTTGGACTTTCCACTGAAGTTACTGAGAGTATCTTGAAGGCAAATATCCTCTGAACACAGTGACTGAGAGGAACATCGCCATCTGCGAGATTTCTGTTTTGATTTTGGTGACATCTTTGGTGCTGAACTTTCACTAGTGTTGATTTAGCACGGCACGTCCAAGAAGAAGAAGAACATTTGCCAGTCGCACAGTTTGGATGAAACTGTGATGTCTTTGACTTTCTGTTAACTGCTGTTGCTGCTTCTGTCAAACTACAACCAGTTCATGAATCACTACTGAGTTATACAGGATTTTAAATCAGTGATACAGGTGGCAACATGTACATTTAGCGGACTGTCAGATCTGTGAACAGACCTGGTGAAATTATAAAAAAATATAAAGTTTGATGAAAATGATCAGGTAAAACATGAGCTTTGTACGTACCAGAAACTCATCCCGAATGAAGTACTTTGCCCTTGTGACGCGGGGATCCTCACCTGGCTCTGGTATTGCTGTTTGACAAGAAAAAAATCTGGTCACCATTAAGTCTCTCTTTTACAGTAAGACATTAAACACATCACTCCTCCTGCTGAACAGGATACGTCACCATGAGGAGCCACATCTGGTAAAGCTCGTAAGGATGATGAAGAATATTGTGACCAATTCAATAAGGTATTCTGTAAAGCTGATGTAATGTGCTATTAGACTTTACTTATTGGTTACGATAGAGCTTCATATTTAATCCTCAGCTGATTTTTAACTAGATTGTTGTATTTTGACTCATCATTTGAAAGCGTCGGTTTTGACCACAGACAAACTGATGTGTGTGTGTGTTATGTACTGGACACCCACAGATACCAGTGTCAGCCTCTTACCATCATCAGGTGTAGTGTAGCGTGCAAACTCCGGGAAATACTCCTCAATTTTAGATTTCCCTGCCAAAACCTTCTCAGCGAGCAGGTCCTGTTTGTTCAGGAAGAGGATTACAGAAATGGTCCGTAGCCACCTGCGGAGGGAAATGAAGGACGAGTTCAGTGCCAGGTTTCTTTGGACTTTCGATCAGGACCCAAAGTACGTTACAGGTCTGTTGCTGGAGTCCCCAGTTTTTAAGTGGTGTTATGTTTTAACAGGCTTCGAAACATTTACTCCTCTGGGCTGAAAAGGTCTTAATGCTCGTGCCATAAACAGTCCATATGTTCCCACATGGAGAGGAGGACTTTGTCTTCTCCCACTGTACATACATGCACCCTGAGCATGAATATTTCCTGGTTTCAATTTTCAATCCTGTTTGTACAGTACGTCACAGCACTTGTTTAAAATGTCTCTCATATTTTGTCTTAAAAAGGAAAAACCTTTGGTAAATAGCACTGACGTATGACGGTTCACGTTTTTGCTTTGACTTATCATTATTAGGTAAATGCCAATAGTACAATGTAATGGCTATAGAATAATGACATCATCTGTGTGTAGACTGGTTCTCTATAAGTCTCACTTTCTGCCAACGGGTATGAGGGCTCGATTTACAGCACAAAGGAAGTGCGTCAGCCATTACACAACCTGGTGGTTATCAGTAGCTCTCCAGAGTTACCAAAGAGTATCAATGTATGTGAAAAAGCCCACATTGTTGTATAATAAGTTTGCCAGTCTATTGCACTACGAGTTTATTTGCTTCGTTCTGATGTAATTTGATTTGTCTCACCTGAGTGACGTCATTGGAGCTGCTGTGTTAACAAGCCAACAAGGTTTAGTGTCAGTTTTGTTTGTTTTAGTTTGTATTACGACACTATTTTTCCTCTCACGTTTTTACAACATTCAGCTATACTAACTTTGTTTATTGCCGTGTGTAAACGCCTAAAAGTGAGCGTGTTGATGTTTATAGTTGAGACTCATTTATCAGAGTGATTAGTTGCTAGTGACCAGGAAGTGCAAAGCAGGCGGTAGGAAAGGTCTGATGGAAAAAACAGTGCTTGCCCGAGATGTCCCTTTGTGCCATATGCATTTTCTGAATGCCTTTTATTTCTCCCTTTTCACCTTAAACTGATACACTGGATGAACTGGGAGAGAGAGAGTGCTACTAGTTTCATATTTGATTAATAAATCCAGAAAGAAAAATAAAACTTTGAATTTCAGGAAGCTGATGTTCACCTGTTGTTCCAGATGTTCTTGAAAAGGTTGAGGGCTTCCTGTAGTCTGTTGGTCTGATTGTCTTCTCTGATCACCATGTTGTAGCTGCTACTCGCCACTACGAAGATGATGGCTGTCACATCTGTGTCACACACACACACACACACACACCACAGGATATGATTAACACATTAAAGAGGAGTAAAACTACCAAACACTCTTGATTACCTTTAGAGATAAATAAACACTGAGACATGCATCTGGAAAAAAACTAGAAAACAATCCTGGACACAAAACAATAATAATAATAATAACAATAAACAATAACAAATTACTAAATTAATGACTGATTGTCACTGATTATTTTTAAGTAATTCATAAATAGTGAAGCAAGCTCCAAATAACCTACCGTTGAAACACTGGATCCATTTTCGACGTTCATCCCTCTGACCTCCAACATCAAACATACTGTGAAACAGAGGAAGTTCAAAGGTTAATGTGCATTGCAAAAGTGGAGCAAAGACTTTAAATACTGACATCACTGTTTACTAAACAGAAACAAGACCTTCTCAACCAAATAAAAAACACATGACCTCACGAGACCTAATATTCAATATCAATTAAAAACAAATTATATAAAAAGGTGATTCATTTGTCATCCTGGGAATTCACATTGCTTATTGCCCTTCAAATATTTAATCTTTGGATGTTTCACTTGCAGAGTAAAAAGGGGAATATTCTGTATTTGCATCTGATTTTTACTTTATCACAAACACTGTGATAAATAAACTTTGAGGTAACTCACTGGAAATTGACTTTGTCTATTTGAAATCGTGTCTCAAAGATCCCAGATGTCAGCACTCTGCATCTCAACAGGTCCTGAAAAATAGAGACACACAGGATGGAGTTAAGATCATTAAAGATAAATATAGAAAAAAAAATACAGACATGGGAGGTGTAGAAAAGAGATGTCAGGAGGACAGACGTAAGAGTGTCAAAAGAGAAGAAAAACAAGGTAATAAAGACGGGATTATTAACAGAGGACAAGGATGGATAAACTCAGTACTCTTATGATTTATTATTGAATTTATAGGCATTTCATCTATAAACAAAGCATCATTTAAACTTCCTCTTAACTCAGGTCATACTGTATTTAATATTAAATAAAGACAGCTTCTTTATGTTAAGTATTACAATTTATTACAGAGCAACAGATATATTCATTATTATTTAATCTGTCAATAATCACTTTCGATGATTCATTTATTGTTTATGCAAGATATCATAAAACAGCAAATTCTCAGTTTTGTCTGACCAACAGTCCAAAAGTGAAGATATTCACAGAGAAAAGCAGCAAATCTTTATAAGTGAGAAGCAGGAAACACAAACTGTGTCTGAATCACATCCTATTTAATATATAGTTCACCCATTCTTGACAAATCACGCCCCACCAAAATATAAGAGCCTTTAAGTTGTAATTCATCAACGGAATTATTATTCTTTGGGGTGGAATATTATAATAAAAGGATTTACATGTAGGAAAAAAATATGATTTATAAAATACTTTGATCTGCTTTCATTTTTTTAACTTGTAAACTTGTAAACTAAACCCAGTGCCAGAAAACACATTTGTCCCAGACAAGAATTCACAACTTCAAATAATTAAAAATGTGTTAAAAGCCTTCAAAATCAGTTTGTACTGATACCATTGGTGTAAAAATGTTCTGCTAATCTTCTTTGTTTTAAAGTTTATTTTTTATGAAAATGTGTCCCAGAGTTTTGTCAAGTCTGTCAAATTTCTAAAAACCATAATTTAATCGAGCATAAAATGTATTAGCTATATCATAAGGACTCCTGTCTCACTTCCTGGTTTCCAAAAAGAGGGGAATGCTGCTCAAGTACCAGTAAGCTTTCTATTTACTGGTAAAGTCATTAAATAATATTGCTATTGAGTGTCTCAACCAGAACATGTCAACTCTGTAGCCTTCTAAATCCAAACTAAATAAGAATTAAGGTTTAAAAAGGAGTAGTTTGATTAGCATTAAGGGAACTCTTAGCAACTTTGAAAAATAAAATGGCTACTCACTACAACTGCTGTAAAATGAATAAATATATAACTTTTTGTCAACACAATAAGACACCAACCTTGTCAGATCTTACCTCTGACATCCATTATATAGCTAAAATTTGATCACTGGGAGGTCGGCCCATTACAAGGTTTAATAGTCAAGGCACAAACACAAAAATAAGGTTTGGCCCCATTTGTCAAGAATAGGTGAGTGCACTATTTTTACACTGTGTCTGAACTCTATAAAATGTCTGGGCTATATAGTTGCTTCAAAAACTCCAACAATGGAACAAAAAAAAGTTGAGTGCATGGTGCTCTGTGCTCACAATCCCACAATGCAATGCCTCACATTTTCTGGATGTAAAAATTACAGTTGTGTGACTGTACAGCTGTCAGGGACGACACAAAATGACGCTGATTTATAAGAGTCCAAACGCTTGATTAACTGTGAACTACAAAGTATACTACTGAGTGTGTGTTATATAGGAAGCAGTGAGTGAGTGAACGAGGGAATGATTTGGGACGCAGCCAACAGTCCATCTTCACAGCGGACATTTTGACTTGTCATAGTAGGAATGTACAGATGTTACTAATAACATTAATGATGACTGTTTCAGTAAACCATGACAGAGTGACAGTGGCTACGATTGCATGCACACTAATATTCCACTATTTTTTTCGAACATGACAGTAATTTGATATGGCTCAGGTAAAAATCATATTCTGTTTAGATATTCCGAAATTAACCTTTTTCCGACTTCAAAATGTTCTGAGTAAGAAATGCGGGATATGTTGGTATTATTCAGGTTTTAATAGCATTCTTTGGACATATATGTACACAGCGCATTAAGAATATTCGTCTCAATTGGGGTTTTTACAGCAGTTTGCGACACATAGCATCTTGCCTTTTTACGGTCAGCTATGTGCGTTGTCATGGATATGTTGTACATAAATCAACCAGCCGACAGTTCGCAAGGTTGTGGGGAAGAGATGCATGCCCAAAAAAAAGCACACATTTCTTTTCAGAAGGAGAAAAACACCTACTTTTTAACATTGTGACAGACTTGGATATCAACAGGTTTTTGGATATGCACAAATATCGTAGAGCCAAAATTTTCGAGAAGGTGGCTGAAGGAATGAAAGAAGGAGGCTGTGTTCACATGGTTGAACAAGTCCGCCACCGGTAGGAAACTCTTGAGGTTATTTTGACGTGTTAAATGACATGTTAAGGCACCTAAATCAGAGTTTGTACAGCTGCATGTAAACAGGAATATTAGTGGAATATTCATTTTCATTAGCTGCTTAAACAGCTTATTAGAAATACTTTTATATTTTTTGGAATAAGGGCAAAAACTGTAATATTTTGTGCACATAAACGTAGTCAGTGAGGCAGTACACACAATACCAGAACCCTGAAATTGATACAGTAAACAGAGTTCACCCATCGATAATTTAATTATCTATATCTGTGCTGTTTGTGACAAGTCAAAATGCTTCCTGTAAAAAAGCACCATATTTGGCATTTTTTCTTGATAAATCAAATCAAATAAAAAAATTCTTGACGCTTAATTTTCTGTCAATCAGCTAAACAAATAACTGACTAATAGTTTTAGCACCACAGATGCAGACAGAGTGTTTCAATATACTGCAGGTGTTTGACTGTAGAGCATCTCACCTGATCAGTGGGTGTGTAGTCATTCTGCCTGACCACATCGATCCTGTCTAAGAAGCTGCGAGAAAGAACAGAAAAATACAGCCGGTTAGATCTTAAGCACATTATAACAATATAATGATAAAACAATAATACATGTACATAATAACACAGTCAAACATGTCGACATCTGCACTGGACACTTTCAGTAATCATCAAAATAAATGTACCTCAGCAACACATTTACCAGATGTTGATGCAGACAATTTTTAAAATCCTACTATACTGACATACTATACAGTGTGTGGTGGGAACTGTTATGGCACCCCAACACACACACACACACACACACACACACACACACACACATCGGTACATCCCAGTACATTAGTGTGAGCTAGAGAAAGATGGAGGACGGTGGTCTGTGAGCAGCCACCAGGGGGCGTGTGTTTTAATTCACAGCGAGATCAGAAGCAGCCAGTCTGAGTCACCAGCAGCCGTTTGCTCTGTCAAGCCAGAGAAGCCTCGTCAATGGAGCTGCTGTAGTAATACTTGCACAGGAGGAGAGGCGTGCGTGCGTGTGTGTGTGTGTGTGTGTGTGTGTGTGTGTGTGCGCGCGCGCGCGTGTGTGTAAGTGCACATCGGTGTGTATGTGCGTGGGCGGGAATGCAGGCCTACGGTGAGATCAGATTTGCAGAGCGCCTACCCAAATGAATGTTAATTGTTCCGATGAAGTGGCCTACATAGCTGCTGCTGCTTTTCAAGGTGTGTGTGTGAGCTGCCCTGATGCTTTCATGATGACTGTATCAGGGTCACCTGCTGGAGGTGTCTGCTGCAACAAGTCAGGGCTCAAAATAGACACTTCTACACGAGCATCTGTCAAAGAAACAACAAAATGTCTCTCATGTATCCCAGGCTCTCCTCCTTTACAATAAGTGAGGTATCGGATGAGCAGACTGAGTTTGTGGATGATGTCACAGGACTCAGACTTTTAAATGTCCCTGCTGTCCTGACAGTGCTTTGAGATGTACAGAAGAAACATTATGTAGGAAGAAGAACAGGAGGTGCTATGCTCTGACAGTGGAAAGACGAGTGGGCAGGCTAACGCTGCTGCACTGAGTGGAATTTGGTGATTATCTTTAAAGCTAAAGTGGCAACTATCGTGAATGTCCCACAAGCCTGCATCAATCAGACAGAAGCACTGCAGGGTTTCCCCACAAACGGCTCCTCTCAAGGGTGAAGCGCAAACACATCCACAGCAAAAGAATAATCTACAGAAGCACTTATAGTGCATCGTTTAAAGCAGCCTTGTAGGGTTTATACCTTTTATTTAAGCCACTAGAATCATCCTATCACTATTTGTCTCCTGTTAAACTTTACAGAAAAACTCCATTTCTGCCATAAGAGGCCCCAAAATACCATTTTTCTTCTTAGACTACACATCTGCAAAATGCAAAATTAAGACACAGATCATTAAAAACAGCTAAAACGACAAAGTAAAACAAGTGTTACTGATATGTAAACTACCTGCTTGATTGCACTTTCAATTCCATTATGATCAAAAGCACCATCTCAAGTCAGTTTGGGGATAAACAGGAACATTAACTGCACTAGAAAGGCTAACACTGCCAACACTCAGCAACTCACACCAAAACAATCTAAATTATTAAAGAGCATTACAGTTACAAACAAATATGTATTTTGGGGTGAACTGTCCCTTTAAGAACCACTGATTGAGCTGTACTGTCTGTAGTAACAACCAGCACCCGATGAAACACAGAATCCCTAAAAACCCCTGAGGTTGAAACACATTTAAAACATATTTCTGCCAGACAGAAAGCAAGAAAGGAGGAAACTCTTTGGTTTAACGGCTTACAACAGGTAGATATACGCATGCAGTAGCAATGGAGTTATAAGTTTTAATCTGCGTCATAAACTGCTTGCGACAGCTCCTAAAATACAGACCGCTTTTTTCTCTCATGTCACAAAATATTAACGTTTACATTTTTCTGAAAAACATAAGATCAAGCTTTATGGAAATCAAGCAGACTCGATAATTATGTGGTCAACTAATAACTGAACGAGACCTGCAATGATTAAGTGATTAGTTGTCAATAAAGCCTGAGTGATACTGAATTTTTAGGGCTGATGCAAATACCGATATACAGAGTAAAACATCCAGATTGTGATATGTCAGCCGATATTCTATCTATATATATAATGCAATTATCCCAAAAACTTGTGACAAAGTTATGTAATGGAGGCAGGATATTTCACACAATAAATGTTATTGTCAAAAACTGTATCATGCACTGAAACAGGAAACATCACTTTGATAATTATAAATTACTCCAACACTCTTTTTCTAGATTATGTTTTGTTAATAAAAAAAAAATCTGATCAGTGCTTACTGGACAACATACACGCCACTACCAATATATCTGTGAGAGGCCACTTAAATTAACTGCCATCTAATTTGGTAATTGATTAATCAATTTGAGTAATGTTTATAAAGGGAAAAAAAAGAGTTAAAAATCTCTGATTCCAGCTTTTTTAATATGAATATTTTCTGTTTTTGTACTCCTCTCTGACAGTAAACTGAACGTCTTTGGGATGTGTAAGAAATAAGACATTTAAGGATGTCATCCTGGGGTTTTGGAAACACTGAGCAACATTTTTCACCATTTTCTGACTTTTATGAAAGCAAACAACTGATCGATTATTGAAGAAAATAACTGACAGATTAACTAACAATGAAACTTATTATTAGTTGCAGCCCTAAAAGAAAACTGACAAACAAAACAAGATGCATCAGGGCGGCGCTCAACGACTCCTCTCATCATTAATATCCTGGAAAAACCCTTGACACAAACTTTACATGTTGGGAACCACTGTTTCAGGTGGCTGCTAACGTAGATAAACTTACTGATCTACCACCCTGTTTGATTCCTGCACGGCTGTCTGTTTTGACTGATCGTCTGCCCACCACTCTTATGACTAGAAAGGCAAGACACTCTCTCGTAGCTGCCTCTCAGGGCAAAGGTATGTAAACCCCTCTGAGATAACTAGGAATGTGGCAGGCAGGGGTGAAATGTGACAGGAGGGCTGCAGGTAACACACTGAGAGGAACAGGGGGCTGGGTCTGCGGAAGCTACAGCACTGGACAGACAGACGGAGGCAGTCAGGAAGAAGAGAGTGTCAGTGTGAGGCTGAAAGAGAAACAGAAGAGGACAAACAGTTTGGGGAACTAAGAGACGCCCCGTGTGCGTATCTCTGCACAAATGCACACTGACACAGATATTCATATAAAACACACGGAGGCAATTAAGCAGTCAACCAGTCTGGTACCATCGGCTCTCTGCAGGGGCCCAAGTGGCTCAGCTGTTCCCACACCACAGCACCTCTGCTGTGCCAGCACACCCAGAGCCCTCGCTGGACAACTGTTCAGCCTCTTACTGCCCCGTATCCTCCACTGCTCAGCGTCTGACTTCACCCTCCCGTAACATCCCCACACCGAGCTCCCCAAACACATAAATAACCGGGATGTGACAGAACCTAAAAGCTCTAATGATGACAGAGTTAACATGGCTGCCGCCGACATCTGCCGAGGCCAAACTCTTGTTTATCTACAGCTCTGGTCTGAGGCGGCGACACGCCCAGGACAAACACACTGCTCAATTTTTAGCAGTTCTCCCTATTAATAGGAGAAGTGCCAATAATAACCGTGCCTTGTAAGTTGAACTAAATAATAGTGGCTGCCCCAGTAACAGAGAGGTCTGCGGTGTTATGAATAACCTGTCAGGGTTATTCTGGGGTAGCAGACAGGCAGGCTTAAACACTGGAAATACACACAGGACTCTTGTCTGGTGATTGAAATAACCCAGTATTTACAAGAAAAGATAAAGTATAATTTTAACTTTTTAGTGCACCTTTCACTTACATATCATTTTTGTAGGTTTGCAGGTTCAACAGTTGTGAGGGGTTTAAAGTAGGACTAAGAAAAATGAACACTATATTTATAAACTTAAATCTTTATCATTATCATTATTATTTTAAACTACATGTTTATAAGAGATTTTCTCTTTACATACACATGTACATACGCATACAACAAAAGAAAGGTGTACCTCGTCAGCCGAAGCACACACTGCGGCACAAACGAACACAAAACACAAAGAAACAAACTTCTCAGACATAAAGCCATATTTTCTATGTATATAAACCCGAAAATTATTATATTTTCGTCACATAAATTGAGTTCAAACAAACCAAACTGCAAGGTTTCTATTAGAGTACTCTTCCTCTTCATCATCTTCTAAGTCCATTCATATCACCAAAGCACTAAAAAAAATCTGTATTATTTAATTTAATATTTTTTTTTGTTATAGCTATATAAACATAACCAACTCCAAACACTTTTTAAATTTAATTTAGGTGAAATTTGCTCAAGTTTAGACTTGAGATGTTTGAGGTAGACGTAACTTAATGACTTAATAGTTTACAAAAATAAAGAAGCAATAAAACTTTAGAATTTCTAAAGCTACTTCCTTGAATACACTGCTCTAAAAATATTACTAAAACTCCCACAAACAAGTTTAAACTACACAGTCAAAATCACAACTGCAAATAAATATGAGTTTATTATTTTCATTAGTTATTTTCCGGTGGTAAGAATTCTCCAACAATCAACAGGCAAACTGAGCTCTCCGCTGCAGCATCAATAGCAGCGTCCTGGTCCAACAAAGCTGATAACCCTCGATACTATAACACACTCATCTTGTTAAAGTGGCAGTATTAGGACAAAGGATTACCCAGATTATGAGCTGGTTTACATCTACAGCTCTACATGGGATTAGTCTCCTCTGAGCCACACGACCGTGTTGACTCGTCAGGCCTCCGCACGTACAGCTGGACTGGAAAATATGCTGAATTATTAGCTTCATTTACTTGAATTAAAAAAAAATCATTCACTTTATAAATAAGATAACATGAGCAGGTTCAGGTTACTGACTTAATTTAGTTTTCACTTCATGTTTAACACATAAAAAGTTTTTGTCTCTCCTCTGTTTACAAGCAGAT